CCCCTATGGAGCCAACGGTTTTCTTTTCGTTTTTTCGTTTTTTCTAAATCAGTTTTCCCTTTTTTCTTTTTTTCTTTTTTTTCTCTTATTTGCTTACGGGTCATTGGCTACAAGCCAACAACAACCCCCGTCCGACGCGGTGCATTAACGGCTGCGTCGCAAATTTTTGGCTCGACGAGGTACTGGTGGTTTAACTATTTATTAGAAAAATAAGTATATGCGCATTTCTTAGCGGCTGAGGTGTGGGCTTTGTGTTTGGTGAAGCAAAATATGGATCCAAGCCCGACATGGGGGAGAGGGGGGGGGGGGGGGCTCCGCGCCTGCCCCCCCCCCGCTCCCCCCCCAACTTGAAAAAAAAAGAAAAGGATGCACATTTCCTAGCGGTCGCGATGCGGGTTTTGTGGGTGGTGAAGCACAATATGATCCAAGTCCGACATGACTTGAAAAAAAAAAAAAGAATTCTTAATTATTTATTAGAAGAAACAAATGTTCCATGCATTTCTTAGCGGGCGGGGTGCAGGTTTTGTGTGTGGTGAAGCAAGGTATGGAACCAAGTCCGACGTGGTATTAGCAATATGTAAACTACACTATATTCTTCTCTCAAATTCTTTTTGCCTTTCACTACCTACCTACCGCTACTCCTAAGGCTATATGGAGGGGACCCCTGCAAGCATAGCTACCAGGCTACATGGAGGGGACCCCTACCTCACAATGAAGGGATTGCATGTTGCCCCCAGCCCCAACAGCGGTAGTCAGAGATGGGGTGGGGCCACCAGTGAGGGTCCGGCTAATGCAAAGACCGAGCATTTTGCCAGTAGTGGGTTGCGCCTCCCTTTTCATCGTCCCCACCCCCAATCGAATAGCAGTAGTTGGGTCCTCCTTCTTTTTCAAACAAGCACGTGTCCTTTCCATTATAAATACTGGAGGGGAAAAAAAAAAAAAAAAAAGCTGGAATTGGTGGCCACCATCCCTCACATCCAGGGAACTCGAATCACACTTGCCTCCGTTATGCTCGAGGGTTCCCTGCGATGCCAGCATTGATTGCTCCCTTCCGGGTGCATTTACTGCCACTCCACCCCTGTTTCATGCATCTGGCCTTAATTTTCGTTGTTATTCTTCTTGAATGCACCTATGCAGGGTGATCTCCCATATGCACAGGCGGCCGCACGCAAATATCTGATGGTGGTGCAAAGCATACGTAGACCCGCCATAGGAGAGATGGCGAGGGCATTTGCAGCCAATGCAGCGTGTGCACCGGAGCGCTGGACGGCAGAGGTGTACGTCAACCTGTGCCTTGACAAGCTGGAAGATGAATCAGAAACCTATGGGAGTCTGTGCCCATTAGCAGATGCTCACTACATTTTGGCCTGGGTCTTCCAATTCAACGGTGAGGAACCGATAGCTCCTTTTTTTTTTTTTTTTTAAATAAACGGCTGAACTGCTAGCGGTGGTGATGAGAGCATCCACCACTAGCAGCCCAGCTACTGGCTCCATTCTATTGGTGGGGAGCTGC